CTAATCTCTTTTCTCCAGTTGTTAGGCCAATGCATAATTTTCATGGCCTTGGAATTGTTGGGACTTTGTGTTTAGTTCTTTGCACCGGATTCACGCAATCGTTGACCTATAGTTCGGTTTTCCGTTCACAGGAAACTACAGAAGCTTTCCGACTTCCTGGGTTTTCGGGAAAGACGTGACGACGAAGATTACGTCACGCTTGCTCGTGACCGCCTTCGGCAAATTTCGTGGAAGCTCGTACACGTCCGTGCGCTCAAGACGGAGTAAAAATAACATTGAATGACCAGAAACAGTTGGGCATTTAACCCTAATTTGAGGGAAAATACTAGTTTTTTATGTGAAGAGAAAGCCATGGACCACAGAGAAGCATTTATAGCTACGTGGATAAACTTTTTTCCAACTATCAAGCCTCCCAATACGGAATTCTTACAATTTTGTGGTTGCGGTGGTGAAAATCGCTCGCAAGAACAAATCTTCGAACGGATCAATTTATGCAAAGAGAGACTTGATAGTGCTTTAAACGTGTTAAAAAGTGAAGGATTCATTCTAAAATGGCTCACAGAGATACTAAATACAAAAGACGTTTATCAAAGTGATTCCGAGCTCGTCAAAGTTTTGAATATGTTCTTCCCAAGTTCATTTGAACCTTGGACAATGCTTATGGACACTGCCCCCAAATCAGTTACCACAGAAGTTGCTACAGGCACGGAATGTACAAGCGTTTCTAACGAGCCTAACGGCAACAACAGCAAGTTATTGGACAACTGCGATTTGAATGAAGGGAGGAACAAAGCTATTAGCGAAGTAGTTGAGGCGGGTTTTGCTGATGGGTCGGAGCAAGCACTCGGCGGAAGTGAGGACGAGAAATCATTAGAGTTAGATTTCAATAACAAACGGGGGATCACTGGGGTTCCTGGTAAATTATTTAGCAGTGAGAATAATGAATTCGATGAGGAAGAATGTTCGTTGTATGATGATCAAAATACAACAGAGGGTAATAAACTCTTATCCAATAACAATACGGAAGAGAGAGTTGAACACGACGTATGGCAAACAATTTCACGTGAGGAAGAAAACCCTACGGGTTCAAACCCTCAAGACGAACAAATCGTGGAGGAAATGTCTCACGAGTCAAATTCTCCTGACACGGAAAAGCCAGCTGGTCGTAAAGATCGAACACTTGCGACTGTGTTTTCTCCACTGTCAAAGGGAATCAATAAGGCAATACCAAAGGGGAAGTGGCAATTGCCGCGTTCCCCATTTAGCAGTTCTAAACATCGAAGGAGTGACTCGAAGGATAGCGCGGCAAGTTCTGAAGGAGATGATTTTTCCTCACATCATACGGAAAGTGAAACGCCAGAAAATCTCGATAGCGAAGTATTGTCAGACGATAGTGAAGTTCGTATAAAGTTAAACGATATTTATTTGACAAATCAGGCGGATATTATGGCAGGTGAAGGCGGAGGTTTTTGTTCGGGCGAGACTTCCCCGATCGAGCGACACGGTGATGTTGTCGATTTCAAGGGACAAGGAAACTCAGAGGACATCGAGGAAAACAAAAGCATCGAATCCGAGGGTGATACACGTGGTGAAACAGCTGATGATTCATCCGATGTTATTCTCGGAGTTGTGGATGAACTGATATCTTACTTGGAAGGAATTGAAGTCGTAAGCAGTGATGAATTTGAAGCAGAAGGGGAATCTCCTCATGAGGAGGAAGAAGAGCCTGAATTTATGTTATTTGGTGGCGCTGTCAGACCACGGAAGCCTCATCGACCCAGAAAACAACTAGGCTCTGTGATGTCTATAGGAAATGTGAGTTTAATGAGTACGGACTCTTGTGTGACTCCTTGGTCAATAGATGTTGCTGCTTCTGAAATGCAATCAGCTGATTCATCTGGGGAAGAAGACAGCGTGTCGACTGAGACAAGACCCAGTCCAGGTACCTCTCCTGGCTGTGGTCTCCCTAATATGGAGTCAAAAGAGAAAGTGGAAGCACCTAGCACCCCTCCACCCAAAAGGCCACCTCGTCGTAGTAAAACTGAGAGACTTTCTCGTACACTAGAAACACCAAAGAAGCTTACCAAGGCCAGTGTAAGTGGAGATGACGATGATGACGTGTTTGGTAAAGGTATGTCAATTTCCTATTATTTTTGTCTTAAATTAGTTTGTCATGTGGTACTTAATTTTTGCCATGCAACAAACTCAACCTGGTCACCAATACTTCCAAATTTTCTTTGTTGTTTTGATTGACCAATGACCAGGTGAATTTCCTTTGTTGTGAGTGTGTGTGGCCCGTGAATTCTTGGCCAATAATAATTAATGTTTGGATGACCCTGGTTGTGTGCATAATTATGCCGTAATATCTATGGTATTTATTTGGCATATTTTCCCTGGTTCACCAAGCTTAGGTATCAGGTTTCTGAACATGGAAGTCAGCATATCATAGACTGCAGATTCATAGCAATTATGTGGACAAGTGAGTACCTCACCAAAGAGTGAGTTGAGTATTATAGAAGCCATTGTCCAAGTCAAAGTATGCTTAAAAAACGTCCTGGTCGGTAGTCGGGGCACGATTTGAGTCTGTACCCAGCGGCCAGATGAATGAACTGGAATGATACATGTAGTTTCTTGCTTTGGCAAGAACAGTGCACATAATATTATGATCTCAACTTGCATCTAATGCTTTACAGTATTATTTTAACCAAAAAAATGAAGCGCAAATTTTGTAGTATTTTGTTTTGAAAGTAATATTATTTGTTGTTTGCAATGAACTTTAATATATTATTATTTTGCCATCACAAGAGGGATAACCGTGATTAGCCCAGAGATGTTTTTACTAAAACTAATAGTTGCTAAAGGCCTGATGATGTAAATTACTTGCAAAAAATAAAATCAAATTCAAAAGAGCTGTACTTGTTTTTACAGTGATAACAATGCACTATGTTATACAGTCTAAAAGCATATTTAGTTTCTTAGTTTTTTTTTCAAGAACTATTCTGTCATTAATTTAAAATAAGGTCACAAAATCGATTTTTTTAAAGTTTAAAGACGTCGTGTACTGCAGCTTTTAGGTCATCAAATATTATCTTTCAGCAAAATGTGCCCAGATTATATTTTGTGATTATAGGAAAGAAATATCTAATTTTAGAGTAGGTGCTTTGATCTTTTTATGTAATGCAGCAAATGGAAACTTAAAGTAAATAACAACATTGAGTTAAAAGTTAAAGAACTCTCTGTGGTCCCAGGGAAATTGAAATAAAATTATCTTTCACTTTGGGGTTATTTGAAGTGGATAGAATGGAAATGGTGTGGTCAGACACAGTGGTGAAACATCTGGTACCAAAAGTTCATATATTTTACTTTGAATTTTTGAAAGTTGTTTTGTATTTCTCGATTTCCAGTACTGTTAACATGAGAGTGAGAAAAAGCATTGTATTATTCATTATCACCAGACTGGAATTCTCCCTGGCTATAAAGTTTGATTTTTTTTTTTGCTAGTTCAATTTAAAGCCATTACAAATATCCAATGAATAACCTGCTGTTAATTAATTTTTATGGTAAACATGTTGATCTTAAGAGTCTGATACATGTCACAATAGTCTTTTAGGATAAAATAAGCACTCTTTTTATGCTGAAAGATAAACAACAATTGAGATTTAAAAGCTTCCAGAATGCCATTTTCACGTTTTTTTTTATAAATATCATGTTTTTGTATTCAGCATCATCAGTCAGATAGACAAGGTACATGTAACTTGAAAAATAAAATGTTGGGTTAGGGTTAGATATTGTTATGTTTTATATTGTCTTATTGATTTCCTATTAGTACAAATAAATCAAACCTGTTTGCCTCTATGTCATTTTAGAGGAAATTTCATTTGTCATTACACAATACTGTACATATAAAGCCCTTTGAAAGTTAGGGTTAGTTCAGAAAATAGCCTCCATGTATGGAACCAATTTATTAAAAATTTTCCTTTTTCAAACACCTGATCATGCAACTACTTGATGTAAAAAGAAAAATAAAAAATATATATTTCTGGCAACATATTCATTTGTACAAGTTGTACAAAAAGTTAATATGCTTTCAATTTTTTTTCATGCAACTTTAATTTTTTTTTGTTCATCATTACTCTATGACATACAGTGGATATTGTTTTATATAATAAACAAGGCTTCTGATATTCTGTGATGTTACTATTTCACATAGTCTTGACCTCAAATTGCGACTTTTCACAGAATTCATGAAATATTGCATGATTCACAAAGAAATGCTAAACTCTAGTAAAGTAAACAATGAATTGTAACTTTAATTATACATTTTCCCAGTCTTAATGTTAGCTGAGGTGATTTACCACTGAAGAAAGCCTTGCAAAACATCTGAAACCTTCAATTGCGGTATCTATTGGGCACAGGCGGCCCAGACTCTGTGGGAGTTCATTAGACTGAATTTATAAGAGAAAGTATGAAAATAAACAAAATACAACTTAAATTCCATTTTGTGACAAAAATAGAAATTAAAATGACTCAACTTGTGTTTTTGTTTTGTTTTTTACTGTTTCTTTGCTTCTAGAGCCATTTAGAAGCCATTTTATAGATGTTTAAGATTTTGAGTTGTACTAACTCTTAATTTGTTAGTTTAAAACCCGGTTAAACAATGTTAATTGGCCCTGAAAAAATTGCATAATTTATCGCATAATAGGCTTTTGTTATGGCACAATCTGCCCTGAAAATGCTGCTTTATTTCTGAATTTTGATCGCACTCTATCAGATTAAAGCATCCTGTTTCCATTCAAGGTATAGGCCAGGTACTCAGAACATAATATACTCTTAATGGTAATAATTTTTTATATTTCAAGAAAAAGGGTATTAAATCATATTTTACCCTTGAAAAATTCTGGTTGATTTTGTCAGTTTCTAGTCGTTATCTATTTCTAAAATTATCTGCTTTTACCTACTTGCACACCATGTTTGACAATATTATTAAATCTAGGACTTGCAAGTAAAATACTGACCTCATCATCATTGTCTCAAGTTGATGATTCATGATGAGTCCTTGTTACAGTTGTTTGAGTTGATCTTTTTCCTCCTTCAGGGGATCTTGAGACCCTAAACCGTTCATCAGAGGTCACTCGCTTTCCAAAGAGAAGCACCAGTGAGCAAATTCGTCCACGAAGCCAGAGTACTGACAATGAAGATCACAAGAAACTGCGTAAAGCCAGAGGTGCTCATGTAGTGATTGGAGAGAACAATGTTGATTTTCCTTCATCTCCTGTGAGTTCCCCAGGAGGAAGTCCTGCAAAACATGTACGTGTGAGTACTTATTTTATTAGATGTTCTACCCTGTAATGTCCAATGGAACTGTTAAAACCCCCCATTTTTTACTAAGTGTTAATATGGTACTGTTCTAGGCTTAGCTACATAATTCCAGAATTTTGGGGGGAATTTCAAACATCATAAAGAATTTTAGAAAATCTCAGGAATTTTAGGAAAAAATTGACAAATTTGAGAATTTTAGAGCAATTTGAACTTTCACCTGACATGTTGGTAACATTTCACAGGCAAAAATGTTGACAGAAAGTTGAAAAGAGAGGGGCCAGTCCGCTCATATCCTACATACAACAGTGTCTATAGCAGGGTTTGAGCCAGGCCGCGCCATTGCGCCAATCCCGCACTGGAATTGAAATTGTCCCTTAAAAAAACGGCCAAGGGGACAATTTGTCCCCTTCAAAATTTAGGGAAAAAACTCGAAAGGTAGCACACACGATCCAAGAGATTTAGTTCAGTACAGACATTGCAAGCTAAAACAGAAAGTGGAAAATATATTTCATCGCACGTTTAAAGTTCATTCTAAAGTCACCTTTCAGTCACGCTCTACTGAACACGTACGTGTCATGCTCTAACCAAGCGTGGTGAACGCACCTGGCAGTCTTTAACATGTCACATCGAAAACATGTTCGAACATTAGAACACTTTTTTCGCTCCAAATCAAAGCTAGAGTGAATCAGAGAAAAATGATACAGAAGAAGAACAGTGTATTAATCAGGAAGAAACGGATGAGGATCGAAGGAAACCGAAAAATTCACGAACTTTCCAGAAAACTTGGTTGCGAGATCACACATAGTTGCGCTATGAAAAGGAGGCGTACATCTACCAGTTATTAAGAAAGGAATTGAAGTTTACAAGGGGATGCCTGAACGAGATTCTGCTGTGAAATTTTTTGAAGTATAAAGCATAGTCATTGATCCTCTGTTTAAATATGACGAGAAAAAAAAGTCTCGACACCAATAACTTAACTTTTCTTGTTTGTATCACTTTTCTTGTATTACAAGGATCAGGTAAAAAAAAAGGTTTTTGTTGGCTTTCCTGTATAGCCACATATTTAGCCACAGCGTAAAAAAAATGTTGAATAACAATTAATTTGTCTGTCCCCCTAAAAATAAAAATGTCCCCCAAAATTTTAGACAAGGGGACAGATTGTCCCCCAGTGATCAAATCCTAGCTCAAACTTTGTCTATAGCACTGAGGACAGCAGTTTTTCATCACAGTCATCTGCACTACAACTTATCAGCAGTTATTCACCAAAAGGGGTCGTACAACTCATTAATGCTTCTTGTTATATCGCTATAGAAAAAACAAAATTTTTAAGAGTTTTTGGAGAATTTTAGACATTTCTAAAAGTATTAGAGAGCTTTTTTGGGAAAATTCCAGAAAGAAGTTTACACAATTTTTCGAGAATTATGTAGCTAAGCCTATACTGTTCTAGTATGTGGCCACTTTGGGTTAAAGTTTAGGTTAAACATTCAAGTATTTGGCTCAAATTGCCTTGTCATTTGGACCTTCAACTCACCCAAAGAGCATCAAAATTTTTTTTTTTTTTGGCCATCTGTTTTGCATCAACTGGGCAACTGTACAAACTGCTTGGTGTTCCTTACAAGCTGTTTGAAACTTAGCCACTTAAAAAAGAGTAGATTTAAGAGGTTGAGGAAGAGTAATAGCAACCTGGAGATTTTGACTGCGGGCAACGAGGGAACCCGCAATGATTTAGTTTGATATTCATGTTCATTGTCATCTCTGCTAGGAAACTTGTGAGGATGACGAGGCTAGTAAACTGCACAAGAGGAAATGGGTTGTGGCTGCTGTGCTGGATAGTGAGAAGGGATATCTAGAGTGTCTTAACTTATTATACAAAGTAAGGCCTTTATTTCCTGATTTTAAACAGTTTTGCTTGGGAGTTTGCTTAAGTGTAAGCTTGATTCACATTTTTGTACACTGATTAATGAGACAAAAAGGAGCATTGTACGATGTAACAGTTCATTGTTCTCGCTCTATAGAAGAGGTTTTTACCTGAGGTTTTTTTCGTCATGGATTCAAAAGGTTTAAACGTTATGGTAGGATAAACAACTCCAGATGAAAGTGTTGCTCATAAGTTAATCAAGGCTTATAACTGCAACCTCATCTCTCTCTCGTAGTACAGCACAGTGTATGTAATGTAGGAAAGCATTAATTCAAGGAGGGGGAACCCTTACTTTCCCTTTGGGTGTATCTTTCATCACTTTTTAGACTGTAGATCTCCACAGCTTTAGCAATTCTTTTTGTCATTGTTTGGTTCCTATATCTTTGCTTTCACTAAGGTAATAAGACAACTGTGTAACAAATTTTAATTGAACCATCACCCACCATTAAAGAGGGAGAGTGACAAAAACATTTATTTTTTGATTTGCGTGCTTAAAAATAATTTGGCCTGATGATCATTCAGTTCAAAGATATCAATCCCATCATTTACATAATTATAAATCTTGTATAGTGCGTGCTAATTTCATGTAATTCATTTGCCTTTTTTTTTCCCCCCTCAGCATATGAAGCCTTTGAAGCTATCTATCGAGTCTTCTGCTCCAATCTTGACACTGGTGGACTACAATAAAATATTTCATAAGCTGGATGAGATTTATACCATTCACAATGTGTTTTATAATGACCTTGAGTCTCGAGTCTCACATTGGAATGACCGGCATCTCATTGGGGATTTGTTTTTGAGTTTGGTGAGTAGGTGTATGTAGGATTCATTGGTTGGTGTTTAACTTCAGAGCAGGCTTATACTGAAGGTTTTCAAGCACTCAAAGTTCCAAGCTCAACTTATTTCAAAGTAGACTTTTGGCAACCTTAAGTAAAAGATAGATCGCCAGAGATGAAATATTGGTTGCCAGAAAAGAAAAAAGACACTCTGCCATATTACGTGAAGAGTTAAACAGAAATAATCAAAATGCCTGCCCAACTATTGCAACTGGACTTTGAGGTCCATGCGGTATCTCAAGACGTAATGACCAGACAGCCAGGGTGAAAAAAGTGAATTACAAACATACAAGTCATCAGACTGTTGAAACCTTCACTACAATTTTAGTCGCCAAAATTTTGTTTAATCGCCATGACAACTAAAACAGTCATGGTGGACCACACTCTCCTCTCTTTTGGCAACAATAATACTGCACTCACTTTAGATTAATATGCCTGCAGTGCAGACTAGTCGGTGTTTAAAGCCATTTCATGGTAAGAAGGAAAAGCTTGTTTGCATTTGTGTTTTTTCCTCTTCTCATAATGCCACAAATTCCATTCTCTCTTTTTCCTCTCCCCTGTCCCAAGTCTCACTTCCTTCTGTTTACCTTCCCTGTCCCTCTTTACTTCCACCATCCCTGCCTGCTGGGTATAAGGGTTCCTTTGCTCCTCCAAACCCTCATGAAATTCCATTTATTTATTAGATTCTTCCTTTCTTTTTAAAAGTCTGCTTTGGAAGTACCCCTTCCCCTTGGAATTTCTAATGTCATCACATGAGGTTATGGTGAGAGTATTGTAACAAATGTATCCTGTTATACCAAAAGTTACCCTGTTGTTATTATTGTCTCTGTCAAAGAAATATGTTTCAATGTTGTCCCATTAAAATTATTATAATATTATTATTATTTATACAGGTGGATCAGTTTGATGTCTATAGAGAATATATATTAAACTACAAAATTGCTCTGTCAACCATACGTAAATGCAAAGCCAGCAATGAACAGTTTAATAACATTTTTTCCAAGGTATGTGAGCATTTTTGCATTTAACTATGGCTGACCAGTTAATATTGGCTATATTTAAACAACAATATTAACCAACATAAAAAATATATATATATCTTTCTTTCACTTTCAGGAACTCAGTGTTGGTTCCATTCAAGAAGTTACAACTTTAGAAGGTGGGTTAAGGAAGGCATTGGGAGCAGTGGAGGGGTTGCTGATCATTATTTGAGTAAAGTCCAGTGTCTTGTAAAATACATTTCTTTATATGATGCACTGTGCAGTCACTTCTCGTTTGGTTCTGTGATTTTAAAGTAATTAAGTCAACACAAAGAAAACTCAAGTTTCTGCCTTCTACTCCTTCAAACAGCCTTGATCTCACTGTACATCACTTCTGCCCTCTAAAGTTAGTCTCAGTGTAGAATGAAATACTCAATGATGTGTGACATCTTTGCTGTCATGATTACATTTCAGGCCTTTTTAGTAAGCCAGTTGAAAGAGTTGGTAGATACATTGTTGCTCTGGGGGTGAGTTGTTTAATAATCTTATTATGCTACCTTCCTGTTGGGTTTAGTCCAGGTTAGCACATAAAATTTAGTGGCAATGAATATTTCAAACATAACTGCTTAAAAAACAGAAATGAAAAATTATGCAGCGTGCAAAGAAAGTAGTGTCCAATAGCCTAGGGCTAGTGATGCTAGCTTCAGCTTGCCGGAATGGCAAGCCTGTAAAAATGATTTTCTTTGTACCCTGTTATGCCTCTTGGTTAAATAAGTTTTCATTTAACTCACTACAGGATTTGATCAAGCAAACCCCTGAGGATCATGCCGATTATGAAGTGCTCACAAATGTTCTGAATACAACCAAAGACTTCCTTGCAAAGATCACTGGGGATGACAGAGACAGTGGCGTGAGTAATATGTTAGGGTCTAGTAATATTGCTGTAGCCACAAAGCACTCAGAAACTTCTATTTTCAAAGTCCTTTGAAAACCCATATCCTAGTGGCTTTAGGGATAGGAATATTGTTTAGGTCATTCATCTGTTGAACATTAATTGTTAGTTTGAAGGACAAGCCTTTATAATTTCAAGGTTTTTTTTGTGTGTGCTCAAATGAAAAAAAGTTTTATTTATTATCATTTTTGTGCAATAAGTTAACATGCAATCAAAGAGTTAATGGATCACAATCTACTGTAGCTACAAAATAGGTGAAAGCTGTTTTAGAGAGGTCCTGAGGTTAATTCATCTTTATCCAGGTCATACAAAGAGCGAAGAAAGATCACAGGCTTATCAAAGATGCTTTTATTGTTGAACTTGCAGGTAATTGTTGACATGTACTTGTAAAAACTGCTTGTAGAAGGTATTGACCATTTAACACCCCTGAAGTGGCAAAAATCAGAATTAGACTAAAAGACCAAATTTCATTTTGAAAATGCTATTAAAAAAAGATAATGTTACTATGTAAGAGTACTACCACAGAAGTTTTATTTGAATGGTCACACTGCAATACTCTGTCCACAGACTCGAAAGTTAAAACCGCCTTACAAGACTTCGTCATTCACTCTTAAGTATCGTTGGTATTGTAGAATTTTGTATGAAAAGTGTAGTTTTCTATTATTAAGCCTCGCATGATGTTTACTTGCAGATGGAGTTCGGAAATTTAGACATTTGTTCTTATTCAATGACTACATCATTTCTACCAAGAGAAAAATTACTGCCAGGTTTGTGTTAATTGATTTTGTGGTAAGCTTAATGCAATAAAATATTTGTTCTTTATAGGGTTGTTTTTAGTTATATGACTGTCTTTGTTAGCCTTTGTGGCCCTATGTTAAACAATTAAAAATGGTTATTTTTTATCTTTTTGTATTAAAGAAAGTCATTTTGTATAAAGTCACTTTTGACATAACTTTTATTGTTTTGTTTTTAGGAGTGAACAGTATGTTTGCAAGTGGTATATTCCTTTACACGAGTTGCAATTTCATCCAACAGAAATCTCAGAAGGTTAGTTTAGTTCTGTCTTTTCCGCCCTTAATGTTGATATTTGTAAAGCAGGTAAATTGATACTGGGCGAGCCTTATTAGAAGCGGAGCTTTCGCTCAAGAACTGAAAGACTGGTAAAAACATCCAAGCCATGATATTTTGTAAGGTTTGCAAATAAACGAGACGGAGAGACGAAATGTACGGTAATTAAACGGCCGCTTACGGTTTGCCTTTTACTGTCTGTCGAGTCAACATACACCACAAAATGGACTGCAGCGTTTTGGGCGCTAAGAAAAATAAAATCTAAACAATTAGTCGACATTTTCTTTTGTTTTGCCACTAACTGGACTTAACGTACGTAAGGTTCTGTGCATTGAACCGAAATTTAGAGCGCTGTGTAGCGAAACTGGGTAGTTTTGTACACGGTGCTCGGCTTTATTTGTAATTTATACTTTGCGTTCAATTCAACACTAACCAATTCTTTTAGCCACAGTGTAAATAGAACATTAACTCGAATCCAACTACTGCTGGTCGACCAGATAAACAACAAAACAACTTCTGACAACTTTCCTTTTTCTCGCTCGTTAACTTTGTCATGCGGTGAGCTGTCTTTCAAATTTTTCTCGTTCTTAGCCTTTTTTCAACAATTTAACTCTGAAAACTACACTATTTTGATGTAAGAAAAAGTAAAATAAGTAGTTGAAAGCAATACTCACGTTTTTGCGTCTGTTTTTTTACGTGAAGAGTGCCTCCTTCACATTAAAAACGGCAAACAGCTACAAGTGATAAACTTCCTCCAGAATGCCCGTTTGTTTTTTATCTAGGCACGGGCTGCACGTGCTGCACGTTTCATTCAGCAACTTCTCTGCAATTTGCATAATTAGAGCGCATGTAAACGACTTTGGCATAAAAGTGTTTTAGCCCTTTTTTAACGCAAATTGTCGAGAAGTTGCTGAATACCACATACGTTTCGCTTGTGCCAAGAAAGAGAAGAAAATGAAGTTTTGGACTGAATATGAGGCTAAACCTACAAGTAAAAGGATATTATGGTATTGTAAGGAAAGGCCTTGGTATAAGTAGCGGGAAAAAATGATGCTTTTTTTGCCATTTTCTTTTTTGCTTTAATTTTTTTAGCACCACAAGTCATTCCGGTCACCAGTAAAGCTGATTTTGATATGCTTAAGAGCAGAATCGCGAGCACAAAAGCCGAAATACGACGAGAAGGAGGAGGAATGAGCACTAGTCATAGTCCAGACTCCTCTCCCTCATCCAAGGTATGTTTCCCACCCCCCTTCCCCCACCCCCTTCCACCTATTTTGCCCCAAACAGGGTCATTTCCTTTCATTTGTCATCTCAAGTCTGAAACCTGTTTGTTTAAGATTGATAGACTTCTCATGGATTGAACATCTTTTATGTCCACAGCGTCGCCGTATGCAGTCTGCCTCCAAAGTAGTAGAAAAGATGAAGAAGCGGTTAGCTGAGCAGGTAACTTGACTAAACCGCATTATTTGAGTGAAAGTGTTAACGTTTATGTGGCCGTAAAATTCCGGCTTGAACAGGGAATTGATTACTTTTTTTTTAATTCAAATCGCCTTTCTAGAACGTAGTTAACAACTTCCTAGCTGACTCTGAGCAAGAAACCTTCACTCTCTTACACAAACTGCTGCTACAACACAAAGAGATAGTTTGTCGTAAACTTCTTGAAAGAAAGCTAAAGAGTACGCGAAGTTTCAGACCCAATTTCAGATCTTACAAAAGGTGGCCAAACTCTCTTTCATTTACAGTTTGGTCACAGAAAACTGTGAATGGTGAAGCGCTTGAGTTAAAACTGGAACCCTTATGGGTAGGAGATTATTCTCGCGGAGCCGTGAGCGTTCGAGATTTTTAGTCTGGGTGAAATCGTGTTCGATTGACTGTACTCTGAAATGAGAATGAATGTAATTGACCGAAAACGTTATATGTTTAAGAAGAATTTTTATTGCACACTATCAATGAAATGTACCTTCTAGTGTGACCACTAAAGTGAAAGTTACTGAGCTTCACTTTTAAAGGGATATTTTTCTGTCTTAAGTATTTAGTAAATAATCTGTGTGTAAATTTCTTTTACTCCTTAGGAAGCTGCCCTTTTGCTAGCCATTCCAAGCCTGCCTCTTACACTGTACCACAAGCAGGGCAAGGTATGTTGAAAGTCGTTTATAACTGGCCTTTTCTTATCATAACTTAACCACGTTAACCCTTTTATTTCCAGAAGCAGCCAAAGTTAAATTTACCCCCAAATTTGAAATTTCATCTTGTAAAGTGCTGAAAAAAAATAGTACCTCTTGAAAGTAATGCAAAAACGGTTTCATTTGAGTGGTCGCACCATAGGATTTCGTCCGCAGACTCGAAAATTAGAATCGCCGTACCAGAGTCCGTCATTCACCGACTCTGATAGTGAATGATGGAAATTTCCATGGAAAAATTTCCCTTGGTGCTATACATTACCCTTTTCAAGGTCTTTCAAGCTTTTAAATGAGCGGAAAAATCAGCAAAATGGCATAGCTCCGCGTATACACCAGCTCGTTAACTATTCGTCGAAGTACGAACACACGATTCGTGTGTCATTTTTACCCACGTCTCCCTTGTGCTACAATTTGTGATCTCTTAATGTAAATGATAGCTGCGATGAAACGGTTATTTGGTGATAACATTTTTTCATGTTCAGAGACGTTCGGTGCATGTTCTCAGTGTGGATAAAACCATTCGGCCTTATCCTTGTACATGGTAGCCGCCGTCGGAATAGTGCAAGCCTGCGAGCAAGCTCTCCTATTAGGGCAAGCTTTGCCGCTCGCTCGGGCGTTCTCGCGAGACTCGCTTCACTCACCCAAATAGGAGAGTTTGCTCGCAGGCTAGAATCGTGCAGCAACGTTTGTTTCCAGAATCGTATAAAAAAATTACTGTTTCCTCCAGTTCTCGTAGTTTTGATTGGTTTTGAAGCACAATGGGGAAATAATTCCACTAAAAGCAACATAGTTTTTGTCATTCCCACACAAATTCGTTTCAAGGTGTACGTAACTTCTGCCCTATTTTTTCTTCTTATTTGCATGAGTTAATTTTTCAGGAGTTTGCACCATAAATAAGTAATCATTTTTGTAACCCCTGTTGTCTTTTTTTTAAACATTTACTGCAAACATTACTTGGCGAAAATAATTACTATATAGACACTTGTGAAACTCTTTTTACTTGTTTCATAAAAAATAGTTGAAACAAAGAATTAAAGAATTTGGAATTAAAGTGGTGGAAGTTTATTGTGCCTTTTAATTTTCAGACATACACATTACTTTGTAAAAGCGATGTTGAGAGAGCCGAGTGGAAGGAAAAAATAATCCCTCTGTTGGAACAGAACGAAGGTATGTAAAACTTAAATGTTGCGGTTTTGTTCATCTGTTTATGTCAATCCGGTGAGCAAGATCTTGGATGTGGTGCTAATTTGATGGTTTTGTCAATATTTATATTGTTCAAAACGATTTTTAATCGATTTGCATATACAGTCCAAACATAAGTTGACGAACTGTCTTATTCAAATAATGCTTATCTATGTTCTTGGAGGCCTTTATTGTCAACTTATTTTTTTAAGGCATCTTAAATTTGTGAAGTTGCAAAAGGATTTAACGTGAGCCCTTGTTTAGACAACATTTTTTTTTTCGGTATCACGTTTCTCTAATGATTGTTCCTGCCCTCAACCTTAGATAATCCGCCAGCGGAAACTCTGAGCGTGCTAGATTTGCATCACTTGTTAGAAGCCTGCAAAAAGGTTAGTATCTTAGTTGTTTTCTATAAATGTAAACTCTGAGTCCATCTCCACACGACGACGCTCTTTCCCGTTTGCAGAAACGGCGGGAGAAGAGGGTCGCCTATTTAGCGTTCGGATCAACAAGGACGTTGATTGGTTAATCGCTTTTGTTTGCCGCGGGTGACTTGTGTCAGAGCGACATCCCGAAGCGATTAAACTGACAGATTAATTACAATTCGACCTCAGTATTTGTTTATTCAGATCCTCGATTTACAGCTTTTCTACTGAGGCACAAATCCTGTGTGTCTCGGATCTTCGGTTTCAAAGATTCCAACGATCCAAGTATCTCTTGCGCTTCCATGTCAGCGAAAGTGAAATTTTCCCTGTCTCCAAACCTTAAACTATCTCGACGCGGGTCGACATCGCCCTTGGAATGTGGGGAAAAGAAATCGCCTCTTTTTCGCCGCGGTTCCTTGTCGCCGAATCTTCGTTTGTTACGGAGGGCTTCCGACTCTAACTTCCTAAAAGATTCGCATTCCTTGGTAAGAAACGTTTCCCTCTTCTGTGTTATAATGGTGTTGGCATATCTGTTGGGATTGCGCGAATATAGCTAACTGCTTGATAATATTCACTTGTATAAGTTCATAATACTTTCGTTTGTTTGTATAAGGATGTTGCAATCTTAAGGTGACGGTGAAATTGCTCTTTTTACCCACAAAATTGCAGTCGTTAATTTGTTGGTCTAAAGCTACAAGCGTCGTTCAGAAACTTGTGTTTTTCTCGGTCTGTTTTCATGCTGTGCAGCTCAGTTTTTCTTGCAAGTCTGATACCGAATGGGCTAGATATTTGTATTTTTCTGCCTCAGATTTTGGGTTAAAACATTTCCCTCAACATTTGGAAAGTTTGTCAATTATTTTCCGGGTCTCAACAAACTATACACGTTTAGACACATTTTGTCTTTGCGGTTGAAATGGTCATTGCTGTACTTTAACATAACTATATCGCTATACATAATCTGTTCCTTTTAAACTACACGCTGTGCAAAACATTTTTCGATACAAGTTGGGTGGGAAAACTGCATGTCCGTTCCTTTTCCAGTCTTGGCCGGCTTTCTAGCTGCTTTCGTTTATGTACCAGAATAAATACTTAAAGTTTAGTAGTTACACCAGCTCTGAAATTACGTATTTCTTTGTAACTAATCCGTGTGATACAATTTGGTTTGTTGAGAGGTCGTAACTGAGATATTTTTCATAATGACCTCCGCGCACCTCGGCGCATTCTTAGCAAATTTCTCACCTCTTGATTCATTTTAATCCTTAAATTTTCCGCTTTGGTCACGATATTTTAAGGGGTTATACCGTGTATTTTTAGTAACACTTTGAGGAGCAGGATTGCTTGAACCCGTGGAAGCCTAACAGTAATCCGATCTTGCTATTGCATCGAGTCGCTAGAAACTGAAAATGAAATGGAGAATGATTATCGTCTCTGGGTTTGTCAAAAACACTTTCACTGGGTCTCTCGACGGGTATGAGGGGGAACCTTATTTTCAGTGATTAAATATTCTGTCACGTTGAATTAAAACTCAGAGGGACACTTACGTAGCTAGAGACAGTGTACCATCTGAAGTTCTTTCCGCACTAGTGCCCATACCGAATAGTGAACTTCCTTTGTACTCAGTTTTGAGCTTGTCCATGCAATCCTGTAATGAAAGTTCTTAAGCACTCCTTGCACGCCTTTGGTTGGATACTGTTTTGATCAGGGTTTTTGATCAGAAAACGTCCTCCGAAAAAAACAAATCAAAATTTCCCGAGATTTTTGAAGGGTCGACCTCACTGTGGAAGGATCAGTGGCCTCCCTCTTTATTAGATTCTTATTTTTAGTACAAACTTTGCCATATTTAGTTCATTTTTCTTTTAGTAAAGTCGAAACCAATGGTCCATTCGCTGTTCCTTGAGCATCCCGTAGAATTTGCACCTGTTTTTAACTGTCCCTATTGAATTTAATTTATGATATTAGTGTGGTGACGTTTTTCACGCATTCCTTTTCAGCTGAGAACTTGCAAGACGCTAGGGAGAGTTTCTATGAAAGAAGGTACAAATAATTTTTAATCCCCAGCACTACCTAGCCGCTTTCTTCTTGAATTTCGTTTCTTAATTGTAGCCAGAAATGACCGAAATATTAAAATAACAACTTAATTGGTGAAAAAAATAAAAGAGCTACACGTAAATGACCACAAGGGGGCATGGATGGTAAAAGCGGGTAGGGTTTTTTATATATTACTTTGGTGGACTGCTCCCATATTTAAGCTACATAGGTATATGTGCCAAGGAATGGGGTGAGGGATTTTGAAGTGCTCATTCCTTAAGTAAGGTTTTCGTTTAGGTATTGTGGACCTTTCACAGGACGCCAAGAATCACAGGACCTAAGCCCCTGCTAAAAACCTCCTGAACTACGTGTTAACTAAACAATTCAGCGGAGCTTACTCTTCTTCATGTGGTGGAAAAGAAATGATAAAAACAGCCGGTTCGGACGGTTTCGCGTGATCGGTTAGGATGTCATTTTTCCTAACTTGACAGGAAGGTCCCGGGGGGGAGGGGGGTATGGGGGATATGATTCTCATGTTGCTCGCTAATTCATCTCACTTAAAAACACATACAACACATGGAAACGTTCGTTCTGTAACGTCTTTGCGTTGACTCTTCCTATTCTAATATTGCAGATAAAGGACTCCTTAATGGTCTACTATACGTTCATATTCACTCTGGTCGAGGATTTCACAAAAATGGTAACTAAAGCAACCATGTTTTACCCCACCCCCCTCGCTCCCTACGCCCCACAATGGACTCCAAACACACAAACACCCAAAATCCTGAGTCCCTCGCTTTCACAACCCATATATTGATGAATGAATCAGTTTTTCGCCAAAATAAGACGAAAATTCGTGAGTTAAATCGAAAACTAACGTTACAAAATTGAAATTGTTTTATTTCAGGCTACTCTTGTGTAAAGGAAAAAGTTTATGTAATTGAGACGTGTGGGCTCTTAATGACATCCCACGCTGCTTCCGTAGTAAGATCGTTGTAAAGCCTACAATTACGCACATAAACAAAATCATATCCTTATGGCAACTTAGTGGAAACAAAAATTAGCGCGGTAGAAAGTCACGTATTTAGCGGTTTCCTTATTACTGGTGCAAAACCTTTACCCTCGGTAATCACTTAACTAATCCCAACGCCTACAGAGTCGCGTAATATAAACATGCGTCGTTCAAAATTTATAATGAAGGTCAAATCGCTGTATTAGCTTTGTGCTAATACAGGTAACTTTATACGCCATTTTTTCAGTGCCAAAGATGTTTTTCATTCCTGAACCTGTTTCTTTGAATGTTTCAGATCTGAGCTGCGCAGTGGAAGTTGATCATTTCGGACAGTTTGTGCGTAAAGCCAGAACAAGAACATGTAAGGCTGCCACGGATCCTGTCTGGGACCAGGTGAGTTCATTTGATCAATTAGACTGACTTCAATCGGTTTCTATTTTTCAAATTCAATATCTCTAACAACTTGAAAACAGCACGAGCGAGAATTTTGGACCAGAAGGACTGGCGAGAGATGTCAGAGGGTCCCAATCACCCTCAGGTTCATATCGCGCGTCCGCGTTAATTTGACGAGAAAAAAGCGATCTTTGGGGTTTGTTATCACATCTTTGCTTGAGCCTAAATTGATGATTTTAGTTTCTTATTTTTAGGACTTTGATGTCGAGGTGGAAGGTACAAGGGAACTCAAGCTTCACGTGTATTACAAGAGCCGACTTAACTTTGACGAGCACCTCGCTCAAGGGAAAATTGAGGTAAAAAGAAATTATGTGCGTGGTGGACCGGTGAGTGTTGCACCGCGTTTACAAGAACGTCGTCTTAAGCCAAGTCTTTTGGTGCAATAAATTCCAGTCCTCGCCCCTGAATATTTACTTCTGTCTCCGTTGGTTCCAGTTCACTTCTGCTATGGTCCGATTACCTGCTCACAGCACCACTGGGTGGCACTCACTGAACCTATCCGATGTGTGACGCTCCACTTTCGAGATCGGCGCCGCGTAGTTTCGTTCCGTTACAGAAATCGCGCCAAAATCACCGTTCTTCTGTGTAAACAGAAGTCCAGTGAACATAACCTAAGATTCCTTATGTAACAGCTATTACATGATTCGCGTCCTCTAGAAAAATGTTTCTTTGTAAAAATATCCACTTACAGAGTTGCTGTGTTACCCTTTTCCAGCTTCTAAAAGAAAATTTGACCGATCTGACGAAGAAGACGATTACAATCACCTTGGATAAGCAGGTACAAATCATATTTACCTTGATCCGTTTTGCAAGTTACACCTTGATGGTGTCATAAACGCCGTTTTATATCCTATGCTACAGGTATATACGATTTGCTTGAAAAAAAAAAAAAACACACAGGTCAATCTCCAAGAAGATTAGTTGCCTACCTACTCATCCGCTGTATAATTTGTTGACCAGAGTTATAGAAAATTCATAACGTCTGAGAACTCAAACAAGCCTACTACCCTGTGTTAAAACGGAACGTTTTTAAAGCTAGTTTATTAATAGACTGTATTTTAAATGTACTTTTACTTTTTAACTAATACTATTAAACATGTAAATATAGGTGTTTATTTGTACTTGTATATTCCGGCAATAAAGACTTAACGTGTATCAGTTTATAACTATCTCTGTTTGCCACGCAGGGGGCGGTCACGCTGTCGCTACAGTATTCTAAATCGCCAAAAGGAATTCAGAGGAAAAAATCTTTGGGTGAAAAAGGAGTTTTTGGAGTCGATATTGGTACCGTCTCAAGGTAAGTCATTGGTCCTTGTTGCAAAGACATTAAAAAAACTCTTTAAAAAAGCCGTTTTTTGAGTGTCAATGTATTTAGCACGAAAGTGCTAATTGAGGACACCATTTTACGTCCCCTACTGGATAAGGGACCGCCATTTTGCCCGGTTATCCGAACCATGTAAAGGTCTGGTCCTTTGTAGGAAAAGGCAGTACTTTCATTTCTCGGTTATTTTAAGACCTTGAAATTATGGTGGTCTAGTCTAGGGAATTGAACCTTCGACCTATCGCTCCGCAGTCAAGCGCTGTACCGATTGACGCGGTTACGTTGTATCTCTTGTGGGAATCTTCCTTTCTATAAACTTTATCACTAGCTGCCTTCGTGTCCCCGTTGGTCCAGCATATTTTTAGTAGTGCCTTCTAAGGTGGAGAACTACTGAGAAGACGCGCCTATCACTCGTTGTTTCGTTGATTAGAAATCCCGGCCAGTGGTGTCATATGGCTCAATGTTCGGCGTCCTTCCCTTTCTCTTTCTTAGAAAAATATCGTAACTATCACTGGTCCATTTTCTTAGTTACATCGCAAGTTGAAAAACTTTTGATTCGCTTGTGGAACCACCTGGTTGTTATATGATGAAACAAACATGTTCTTTTCTTTGTAGACGAGAAAATAGCGACATTCCTTTGGTTGTCATTGGATGTGTGCAGGAAATCGAAAAGAGAGGTAAATCTAAAGGGCTTTTTGGAATACTGAATTCCATCAGTAAAACATTCTTAACTTTGTCCTGCCAACAGAAGCTGGTGTTTAGAGGAAAGCAAACGTCGTTTGGAGAAAAGTTCGTTAAGACCCCTGATTAGCTTCGGCTGAGTATTGTCTAATCAGGCTGAACCACGATCACTGATGAATAACATGAAAGTTGTCGTGAGAATTAATACAATGATCATTAAATCGCAAATGCTTTGTTCTTTCATCAAATTCTCCAAACTAATTTTTTAAGGAAAAGTGTGGAGAAGAATTTGTATGTTGATATCTGGGCTGAAAGGGTTTTAAAACACTTACTAAACAAGTAAAACCTTTATTTCAGGGATGGAAGAAGTTGGAATCTACCGTTTATCAGGAGCTACTTCTGAAGTTCGTAGGCTTAAAGACGCTTTCGATAACAGTGAGTACCGTGTACTATTTGTTTTGCCTCGAAACTACGATTTTTTTCTTTTTGGGTGATGATGTATCCATTTATATCCATATGCTTGGCTTTTGTATGCCCGTAAAACAATAATGAAGAGATGGAAAAAACTCTTGCCCAACGTACACGTAAATCTGGATATATGAAATAGTAAATAAGGCAAAATAATTGCGCGATGAATTGTAAGTTCAAATGCCGATTGCAAACGTGGAGAAAATAAGAACATACACGTCCAAAACGTTTTGTCGCTTGAGTGCCCAGTTTTTTCTCCTCTCGCTTGACAACTAATCGAGGCCACTTTTCTGGTCCATCTTTCAGACAGTCAAAGTGCGTTGGTGCAGGTAGCTGAGGCAGACATACATGCTGTAGCAGGTCTACTGAAAATGTACCTCAGGGACCTTCCTGAACCGCTCTTCACAGATGATCATTATCCTCAGTTCGTTGAAGCAAACAGTAGGTTTTCATTTAAACTTTCTTTTTAGTGATAATCACCGTTTGCCTAAAGTAGCAAGTTTAAGTGCCCTAAGTTGAGTAGGCGGCAAGTCATGCTACAATCTTGGACAAAACATGTGAAGAATTTTGCACTTTCTTACCCGCAGGACTTCCATCCTGCATATTTGGTACCTCAATGACCCCTTCCCCCACCCCAGCCTGGTCAATGTTGTTCAGTCGGGGGCAGAAATGATCCAGCCGGACTTCAACATTGTTTTGGGGATGAAGGGGAGAGTATTTGTCATTGCCAGTGCTTTTAAGAGCTTTTTCTTGAAATTAGACATGACAACGTCCGTTTTCTGATCATTTTTGTCCAAGTTTGTAGGTGTTTAAGGCTAAGCCTATTTAATTTGAACCGAAAGATTTCAGCACTAAAAGTACTCTCATGCCGTAAAAGCAGTTGGATGTGGGCAAAACAGCTTTTTAGTTATGAAGATGTGAGTTACGAAAGAAAACTGAGGTGCCAGCTTGGTGGGGGAGTGAAACATGCAAATTTGATTTTAGTGGTGGAAACATGGTAACATTAAGGACATTCAGTTGAATGAAAATTGCTCATTGATTCTCCGGTCAGGAATATTGAGTGCCGATTTGAAAGACACTGAAGTTTTGATTCTAGAATTTTGTGACTTGTCATGTTGCCTTCTTGCTGTTTTAAGGCAGTATAAACATGGTATCATATTTTCAAAGTGAGTCCATACACAGTACCCTTGGGTTCGTAGGTCTAATTCCGTTTTTTAGGGCTATGGGGAACTAAAACTTATATAGTTGTTTTCTTAGAAATTTCTTTTGTCGGTTTTGAATACGAGGTAGGAAACGCTATAATCGGCTGAACAAACGTGTATCTTTTTCTTTTTCACACTTGTCCCTTACAAATTTACTCACATTTTTAACCTCACTTCCTTTTTAGGAATCAAGGATGTCGAAGAAAAAAAGAAAGCGATGACGGAAATATTTGAAACATTGCCCACTCCAAATCGTCTTACCTGTGTTTATTTACTGGATCATCTAAGAAGGTCTGTATGTATATGCGCTAATACTGATAAATAATTATGTTAAGAATAATATTATTTATTTATATAGTGGCTAAATGTCTTAGTGGCAAAAATTAATTCGCTTCTCTGTAAAATGAAATTAAACGCGAGGCAGTGCTAGCCAGCGGTTTCTGAAGTTGCAGCTCGTGTGTGCTGCGGGGCAAGGCGCTGAGCTAGCTAGCCTTCAAGACTCATCAGGGCTCATGTGCTTATAACCACGTGGCTCAGCCATACTTTAGGTACGTAATATCACTATAAAAAATATTCGACGGTCCTTGCAGAGGTAAGGAGAATGTTATGATAAAACGTGCTAAAAGAGGCGATTGGGTGTTTAGAATACAGTTAAAAGTAATGCCCTTGCGGGATTTATTCTAGAAATTGGCCAATGAGGGTCAAATGGACCCCCTTCTGTAATTTTAGGGGGCCCTTTTACAAGAAAGGTGGTCCCCAAAAAGGTATTTGAACTTATTGGCACAGACTGTTCCGTGAGAAAACGAACGTTTATTGACGCTTTGCCGCCATTTTCGAACATTTTGGGCAACTGGAAAAGCCTGGGCACGAATTACCGCAGAATCCCGGATTTAAGTTTATAGAGCGGCCGTCAAATCAGTGTTGCTGTCAGTGATGTTTTCGAATACTTTACTTCAAAAATAGTAGTTATCTTTGGTCTATTTTTTTGGCGCCCCATTTGACGCGGCAACGTAAATTTTATGCGGCATTATTTCCATATTGCGGAAATCCCACAAGGCCCGCGCTCTAGAATAAGACCTGCCCTTGATGAAGAGCATTTCATTGATTAAACGGGCGAACTTGCGTGTAAATTTCTTCAAGACTTTGAAGGGATGATTGGTAGTAGACCTTTTGTTCAAAGTATGTTACATGACGGGATACTTTCCGATCGCAGAAACGACTAATGATTGGCCGGCGTATTAAGTTTGCTTTTTTAACTTAAATTTGTAATAATTTTTTGATAGATTAAGTGTGCATCAAGATCAGAACAAAATGGGGCAAAATAACTTGGCAACTGTATTTGGTCCCAATGTTCTCCGTCCGTCTTCAAGTAGCGGGACTGACCCAACAGATCTCGCGCAAGGTACACTGGATGTTATGAGCCAAGTAGGAATATTCTTGTGGTTCCTTAAATGTAGCTCTCTCCAGCTCCCCACGGATCCAGAGCTCATGCGTAGACTTGATCCCGGAAGAATGCTTGAAGCTACAACCTTGCCATCCGAGAGTCCAGGTAGACTGATATGATACCCTGAGATACTAGCATATACACGCAAGTGTGGATGCACGCTCGTTATAAAGTTCAACATAACCGGAAAGAGTGTGTTGGCTGCTTTATAAGGGAACCCTTTAAAAGATTTTGACTCTGTGAAAAAATGGCGCCAGTGTTACGTAAGCATTTGGTCTTCGGTGCCTCGCTATCACGAAACTCATTTCCAGGGCATTCTTCGCGTTCATATAGCGCTGGCAGCCTAGTCCAGGAACCTCTCCGCTATTTGGATTTGATAGAGATCCTGGAGAGTTGTTGGAAGTCAGTGTCTTATACAGGCACGACTCTTACGTATCCAACTGATCATTTCGTCTACAATAAGAAAAAGTGACTCTCAAAGGAGCACTAAGATCCCCAAGCTAAGAGATCTTCAAAGTAGCTCATCCTCACGGGTTCCATGTTTTATGAGGCATTTTGAGAGTTCGTTAAAATAAGAGGACCTCGAGGCAGCAAATACGGCTTCGTGGATTTTACTGTTCAAACTCAAGAAGGAAAATAGTTCAGTTAGTTTTTTCTCCAAGTCTCGGTGGATTTGTTTTAAATCATATTTTGGGAATCCTTCGAATTCTTGGAAGTTTGTATTCTTTATCCTCCAAAGGATTGTTTTTTAGTCACGAAACGTTTTATTGTCAAATTTTTGTTTTATCATTTTACCATTATTTTAGTTTAGAACCATTTTATGTCTTCCATTTAAAGCTGCGTAGGTAGTACATATAATTAGGGATTCTTTTTTGTTCCATAGTACGCGCACATTATATAGTTATAAAATTCATACGTGGCTACGAGGCTAAGGTGCATAAAACAAAGGCAGTTGCATTAACGTTCAAGGATTATAAATTAATGTTTTTTTTTTTCATTCTTCTCAGCCTCGGAGAAGATAATTCGAACTGGCCTACAGAGCGTTTTCACTCCCGCGGCCAGCATCTTTGCAACTTTATTGGAGCAAAAGAAAGAGTTTAAATAAGAAAAGAGTTCAACTTCCACAGGATTGATTTGAAACACTAACATGGCCGCCCTTTCATTGTTTTGGAACACCAATATGGCCGCCGTGACGTCATGTGAACACGCTCTGTTGAGAAAGGCCTATGTTCATCCAAACTGCTTTGCGTTCTTGTTTGTTCACTGTGAGATGTTTCAGTTGTCAACTTTTTCAGTCCTAGACGGATTTATTGTGAAATGATTTGTCTTTTGCGTCTGTGGACGAAATCTCACGGTGTTGCCATTTAAATGAAATTCCTTTGGCAGAAGTTTTGCTGAGTACCATTTGGATCCTAGGATTTTACAAAAACAAATTTAAATTTCTTGAAGAATTTCTCTTTGGCCACTATCAGGCGTGGAACGGTCAGTTTAGTCCTCAGGTTCAGACAAAAAAAAAATAGCGAAAATGGCTATTAAGTTAAAAATTAAGTTAAAATGGCATTTCGTTCGCACGTCTCCTGTGTAAAAATTAGCGCAGACATCAAAGCGCTTTGAGGAAAATGGTTCTTACTATTCATACAGTGAAATGTGCTTTACTTATGATGACACTTATTTTTTTTCTGCCTCTTTGTGATCGCAGCAGTAAAAAGACTTCCTGTTTTAGATAACGGTTCGCGAAATCTGTTCAGTGATTTAAGGGTCATTTTTCAAAACCCAGTCAATTTTTCAAGTCGGTTTCTATATGATTCGTACCTATCACTTACCCTTAGAGCAGTTTTAATACAGGCCGTTCCGTTCTTTTATGTTCATAGAACCTTTAAAAAGTATGAAATTTTAAACAGTTGTTTGTTAGTCAATTTATAACGCTGAATTTCAATGCTTAGGCCCGGTTCAAACGTCGCAGATTTTCCTCATTAGCATTAAATTCGGCACATATGACGGCGACGTTTGAACCGGACTTTACATTTGTTTTCGTTTTATGTTGTAGCAGCGACTCAATTTTGCAATGTATTGTGTTTAAAGAAGAGTTTTCTTTACACCAGAGATGCAGAAATGTTTTGGATTTAGTAATTTACAACAACAAAAAATGAAGGAGGTTAAATTCCCTTTATTTTCTCCTGTTTATAATTAGTAAATGTGAGCAGTCATGTAAAATTACTTTTAAGTAAGCGTGTGTACTTAAACTAAGTACACGTCTTGGAAACGAAGACACGTCTTGGATATCTTTAATATAATTAAAATTATTTATATAAAACTATAGACGACCTAAGTTATATGAATTATAAAATTAGTTATGTCAACGATAGTTGAAAAGTGATAAGATTTTGTGGTTATTTTTGTCAAAGCTAAGTAACTTAGTTCAATAGCTTAGCGTTCAAGCAAATCAACTTACAGTTACAGCCGTGGGTGTCACGCAACACTTGATGGGACAGAGTGTTGCGTGACGATTTACACTGCCGCTTCAATAGGGTGGTCAGTCCTATCCTTAAGGAAGTTCGTAATGTATTTGTAAGCGAGTTTATTGTTATGGTTGCGTTAGCCGCCATGAGGAGATTATTTGTAATGTGAGATGCTTGACGTAATGCCTTTAAGACAACTTCGCTACAAAGGTTCTTGGGAATCTGCCCACCTACCCCTCCCCTAAGCCAACATTTTGCCCTAAGTGAGAAGTATGTGTTAATGTTAGCTTAGTGGAGGGGTAGGTGGGCAGTTTCCCAGAAACGTATAATGATCTTACAGGAAAGTGTCGCTCCATGCAAGGTAATCCAAGACAGTCTTGGAGCCTACAATCCGGAATCCAGTATCTGGAATCCGGAGTCCTTAAGCTAAATTCCAGATTCCAAAGCCCAGCATTCCGGATTCCACTAGCAAAGATTTCCCGGATTTCTGAATCCCGAGTACCTTGCATGGGTGTAGAATTGAACAGAGTGAACCTGGGATCGAAGTTATGTTAAAGTCGTAAATAAGGTGGGTTCCAGATGCTCCACTGCGGTTAAACGTATGAGGCATTAAGCGGAAAAATAGCGAAGGATGTTTAAACTAATAAGTTAACGAAACTCCCTTTCAATTTTCCTCAGAATATTCAGCTTCCTTTCGTTTAAAGGACTTCGCGCCGGTGTAAATTTCTGTTGAGAAATGGCTCCGGAAGTATCACCAGTTTAAGTTTTCAATCGCTTAGAACTCTTTTCCACTTATTTTTAAAAAGTTTTAGTAAATTACTACGTAACGTGTTGGTGCATAATATATTAAATTTTCAACAATGATAATAATAACCTTAGTTTTGACGTACTTTACTTAACTTTTCCAAAGATTTCTCTCGTTTGACCGTGGTGAAACCAAATGCATACTTGATAGCCCGAACAGTTCACCTTCACGTCATTGTGAGGCTGTGACGTTTATGATCGTATAATTGTTTCCTAAATGGAAAAGCTGTATATAATTTCTACCCAAAAAGTGAATAGTATTTATAAGCTGATGAATATCCTATTAAAGATGAAGTTGTAAATTCAGATAAAAGGTTTGCTTTAACAATTTGAATAAAATAATTTTTGTCTTTCGAGTAAGTGAAGATGATTAGTGTCCAGCAACTTCCAGTTATACACTGCATTGTCATAAGCACTATTAAAACCAATTACCGGCCTTGTTAGTGACTTGGTTGGGAAAAGCAACTATTGTAACAGAGTAAAGCTTATCCAATACGGTTGGTAAGTACAACTATACAGGTTCAGGTACATGGTGAACGAGTGAACAAAACTGACCGTCACGGCAAAACTGGGCAAAAGATGGTGTGGTGTTTTCTCCACCCTGAGCCGGTATGCGTAAATGACGTCATCTGAATTCAAACTAGAGAAATGATCGATCCTTCCGAATTTTTACTTTCGTGAAGTATTTGAGCAGCTAAAACCTAATATATATGCAAATTTTAACTTTGAAAGGGTCCTTCGTTTTGTCATAGAATACGCTTGAATTTCTGAGCTTTTTGGTGGCGCGGCATTAACATGGCAGCGGGGAGAGATGTCGTGTAGGTGAAAAAACTGACTTATGTTTTGAAAACCAACAATATGTTGAAGCCCTTGATATTGCATGGAGTGATGGCAGGATGGTATGTGCCCTTGGTTTCAGGTAAGTGCGAAAGGGACTGGGGAGGAAGGTAAAAAGAGAGGGGATTTGGAAGAGTTTTCGTATTCCCTTTTTCTCCCCACCCTCCCCACCCTTTCCCCTTTTTGCGGCAGAGCATCATACTGGGAAGCTAATCCTGAGCCGAGAGGAATAGCCCGCCCCATGTAAGGCAATCCAAGACGGTCTTGGATTCTGGATTCCACGCCATGGATTTCCGGATTCCAGATACTGGATTCTGGATTCCTTGTCAGTTGAACTGGGATTCCGGATTCCTTGAGGTCCTTGAGCTGTATTCCCGGTTTAAAAAGCCCTGGACCAAGTTGTTCAAAACTGGGTTAAGAATTCTTGTCTTTTTGTCTTCAAGCTGATGATTGGGAGCTCTAAGAATCACAGAGAAAATTATCCGAGAAAATGCTTTTGAACACAAGAAAAAGAAACTCGGGTTAAACACTAATCGGCCTTCGAACTGGGCCCTGGAATCTAGATTCCACAAGCAAAATATTTGCATAAAGTGTTTAGAAAGAACAAGTTGAATCCACTCAGTGACGCGGGTCAGGATCCTTGGATCTTGTTTACTATGGGTAATGTCGACCGAGGTATCGGTCGATATAGCGGTCGATATAGCGGTCGACAGTAGGTCGATAGTCGGTCGATAGTCGGTCGACAGTCGGTCGACACTCGGTCGACACTCGGTCGACACTCGGTCGATACTCGGTCGATACTCGGTCGATATAGCGGTCAATAGTCGGTCGATAGTCGGTCGACACTCGGTCGAGACACGGTCGATGGTCGTTCCAGATGTGTCTCGGCCGATATAGCTTTTCGCTCGCCGACACTTCACCGACACTTCACCGACACTTCGCCGACACTTCACCGACACTTTGCCGACACTTCGCCGACACTTTGCCGACACTTCGCCGATAGTTGGTCGATACTTGACCGATGTATCGGTCAGTAATTGGTCGACACTCGGTCGATGGTCGGTCGACACTTGGTCGATAGTCAGAAGATAGCCGTTCGATATATCGGTCGAGAGTCGGCCGATAGTCGATCGATATATCGGTCGAGCTTTTTGTCGGTCTGTATGGTTTTTAGTCCGTTATCAATAGCCCTGGAGAAGAAATTGGAGCAAGATTACTGAAATATGAACCGATTGCCCCCATTTACACGTGGAGATTCTTGAAAAATTCGCATTTATGGACATTTTTGGTCAGTTTTTAGTCCAAACTACTCAAAATTAAACATGAAAGCATGCCTTTCTTTGCAATAGCATCCCGTTTTGTGACATTTTTTGGTACGGGCATGCCAAAAAGTCTTACCCAATCACTTTAGACTTTTCTGCTTTTTTTTTTCGCTTTTCCTTTTTCCCTTGTTTTTGTCATTTTTTGTATTTTCCTTGCTGTAAGTTGAAATCATTCCCACAATAAATGAATGTGTTCAGTCTGCTGGATATTTTGTCACCTTCCTCGGCGCATTATCAGCGCGTTTTATCAATAACTGATCGTTAAACAAAGGACTGTTCCCGTCTTCAATGCAGAAATATATAAGTTTAATTTGTGGTCTCTGCACAAACGAGAACTCGGCGTGATGAAGCAGGTCCAAGCCCGATAATAAAAGATGTGTATTTAAAGCATGTCATGAACTGCCTTTTCCTATTCATTATTCTTCCACTTCGGGACTGCGGGAGCACTCGTTTCACTCGTCGTTCTTTAAGTATTCTTCGACTGCGGGACCACAGGAGCAGCAGATTCAACTTAGGCTGAGACAAGTTGTGTTTAACAGCTAAAAATAGGACGATCGGTGATGATACAAACTGGAAAAAAAAAACGGTTACCATGTCCTTAGTTCCCAGTGTTCTTCGGTTCGCTTCATAGAGTAATCGCGCCTCGCACTGTAGCCTGTTCCAGGCTCCGAGATGGTGGTGGAAAGTCGTTCAGTAATAAAAAATGCGAAAAACGCCCAAGTCGTGCGCGTCTTATTTTCGCTTTGCTCGTTTTAATACGTTCCCACTGTACTATCTGAGAGCCTGGCACAGGCTACTCGCACTGCCACATGTTCCCCCATCGCATGATAACAGTAATTAATGACGTCTTTGCTTAGAAAAAAGAGCCATTAGACTCACCTGATAAATTAACACATGACTGATATTCGAACGACAGTTGACCGATATACCACCGACAGTTGACCGATACACCACCGACAGTTGACTGATATACCACCGACAGTTGACCGATATATCACCGACATATGACCGATAGTAAGTCGAGGTGCGTCGTCGAAATATCGACCGATACTCGGCCGATTGTCTTTCTCACTATCGACCGACTATCGACAGACTGTCGACCGACTATCGACCGCTATATCGACCGACTGTCGACCGAGTATCGACGGACTGTCGACCGACTATCGACCGATTGTCGACCGAGTATCGACCGACTGTCGACCGAGTATCGACCGACTGTCGACCGCTATGTCGACCGCTATATCGACCGCTATATCGACCGATACCTCGGTCGACATTACCCACAGTAAACAAGATCCGGATCCTTTTACAGGCCATTTTCTGTCAGTTTCAGCCTGAATATTAGCCGCCAGCTTTCTTGAGGCACGAACCATTCAAAGGTAAGTTGGATAAGAAGCTTTCCTAAGCACTCTTCAGGGACTCTTGTTGCGGTGCTATAGTTGAGTATGACTGATCACACATTCTCGATTTCAGCTGCTTTGTACCGAATATTTATTTTAGGAGGTAGTTAAGTGGCAGTCGTTCCACTCAGTTCACATTGTCAGTTGTCAGGGGTATGGATATTTATGGATATGAGGAATCTGATCGACTCCTAACGATCCTTTTAACTAGGTTTATGGAGTGAAAACCGAACTTGTTATCTGCTCTTGGTATTGAGAAGAGTAATTTATGATTACTTGTTATCTGCTCTTGGTATTGAGGAGAGTAATTTATGATTTTGCAAATATCACATTGACTCCCAGAGATAATGATAGAATACTGTCGATTTCGTCAGACTTAGTTTAAAGGTCTAGTATTCAACAAATCATACAGCAAAAACGACTTCGGTAGCACCAACTATGCGAATCGTCAGTTCTTCGGTGTACCTAGAGCTGAAACAACAATTAATTTATTCATTATTTCCCTGAATAAGTATGGCTGAAAATTTCTAAGGTTTTAGTTTTAGCAGCAAGTATGCTTTTAAACAAGGTAGAACCTCGTTCTGATCTTGGTAAAATAATTCTGCTCGTAAAAAACAGAGTGAACACTTTCAAACCCAAGCTTGAAAATGTAAATAAGTCAATTCATCATGCGGAAAAAGGAAATCGATGCACAATAGGTAAAATAACGCGTTATACATACCTGTGCAAACTTGTTTTTCAGAGCAGAGTTTCTAATTTGCTTCACAGAAATTTATTGCAGGGAAGGAAATCTTTGTTTATTATTAATTTTATTTTTAGGGTTACTGTTTATGATGGACTTTTGCAGCCTGCAGTGCAGGCGTTTTCTTCGGACGCACAAATGTTTTTGCTAGCGAAAGCGCCATTTGTCACGATCGAAAACGTCAAAAATAACTTTTTTTGCAAACACACTAAAGCGTTCAAGGCTCACGGGCCACTGAGCCAGACCAAGCTCATTACAGGATCCAAGCGCCTATAGACTCAGCTTGGGTGACCTGTGGTTATTCTTAAAGTCTTTCTTGTTCACTTCGTTATGTGTGCTATGAATGTATGAAAGGTGCGTTTTAAAAGCAGAACAGCTTTGGGTGGAATGAGGACATAGGCACCATATCATTTGCCAGCCCTTTTCTGTCCTTCGTTAGAATAAATCAATGTATGATGATGAAAAATTATCGAATGAATGAGAAAGATAATTCTCATCAGTGTCACAAGTGGCTCAGGAGAAAAAAGCCGAGTACTCCTAATGGGAGATGAACTCGTGACCTTCTGGTCTCTGATGCAGATGCTCTACCACTGAGCTACAGGAGACTCGTGAGAGCTACGGTAGGTCACTCAGTAAACTAGGTTCAAGCGGGAGCTCATAACCTCCTGGTTCATGTGACAAGCATCCTACATACGGCTGTATTGGGAGGACTGGAATGTCGAGATGTGCTCAGTTATGCTCAATGATAGAACAATGATGGTGAATTTTAAGCCTGGTGAATACACGAGAAAGGTGTTCCTTTTTCAGTCGGTGACGGCACAAGTAGAAAAAACCTTCGACCTCTGGCTACTAGTCCAGATCCTTTACCATAGAAGATAGGACTCTCACATGGAGCCCTTGATAAAGTATATGTTGTTGCAAGTAACATCAGTCACGATTATAGTCAGTTGTTATCGGTAAAAGAGAGAGCCTTTCACACAGGTGTTATGGTAGCGTGCACTTGACTTTGATCATAAAGAAGTTAATACTGTTTATTGTTTGTTTGCCAAAAATTGTACAAGTGAAATAAATAAATCTAATTACTTAAACTCTCATGGCGAGGAAGCCCAAGAGAAGCCACCGGGCTTATAAGGAATAGGCTCCCTCAGTTAGATAATTAGAACAAAATATTATCATAATTACACATGGGGAAATCAATGGCAGAGCTACAGTAAATCTTAAAATAAGTATATTAGATAGTCGTACTAATCATAGTTCTAGGCTAAAAAAAGCGAAATGACAAAAAGAAAAAAAAACAAAAAACAAAAGAAAATAAAAGAGCAAAGGAAGAAAAAAAATACATATATATATATGTATTTTTTATATATTATATATAATGTAAATATAATATATAATATATAATAATAATATAATAATAATATGATATAAATAATAATAATAATATTATTATTATTTATTATTATTATAATAATAATAATATAATAATTATATAATAATAATGTATATATATAATATATATATATATTATATATAATATATTTTATATATATTATTTTTTTATATATATATAAATTACTATTTATGATAGGAGGAATGCTTTCAGCTTACAGCAAAAGGAAGCGGTACTTGTTGCATTTCGAATTTCAAAACTAAGAGAGTTAAAAAATTTAGAACCTTGGAAACTGATGGACAATTTTCTAATATTAGTCCTGCATTGTGGTAAATAAAAATGCTCTGAACTTCTAGTGCCATACTGCAGAATTGAGAGGGTAAAAATTGAAAATTGTAATTTACTTACTCACGAAACACTCAGGAGTTCTTAGGAACTCATTAAAACGTGTCTGTGCGTTCCAGATCGAACTGGATTATGAAAGTGTTTGGTGAGAGGGAAAAACCGGAGCACCCGGAGAAATACCAACAATAAACTCAACCCACAGATGTCCTCAACGCCAGCATTTGAACAACGGCCACATTGGTGAGAAACGAGTGCTCTCACCACTGTGCCACCCTTATGGGTGGGCGCGTTGTAAGGTGGGGATTTTGACGTCCAATGTAACAAGGGTTGAATTATAGCTAAACTGGACCAGGTGCCATCAACCCTAAACCACACCCAACGAGGCTACGCAAAATGTATGAGACATCAATCCAGAACGAATTTGCTAGTTTCTATAGAAATGTTTCTGCGTATTGAGCAGCGCCAATCTGAAGAATTTAGCATCGTTGCAGTTGATGAAACTGACTATGCACCGTAAACCAAAGTAAACTTAATGATTCTAAAGCTGATGTTAAGAGAGTAGTCTCTTAAGTCGTCTCTAGGATGCCACAGATTAGTTTGTTAGTGGTGTTGCTAACTGTCGATAACTGACGATGTGTTTTTATGAAAAAAGATTGAAATGATGATTTCAGTTACAGTAAGTAATAGTAAAATGAGCGGTTTCTGATCTCCGGAAAGTCTTTTATAAACTGCTCTTCAATTCAGTCCAAGCAGTAGCTGAGTATCACAACAAGTAGCCATGGCAACTCAGCAACACGTGATGTTGTCGTATCAGTGGAATGTTCAGAGCCTAGTGGAGCAAGTCTATCAAGGCTTACGTCATCTTGGTATCAATGCCTGGATGGATGTGCACGGTGGCATTACAGGAAACATAAATGACAGGTTGGTTAGCTAAGTTAATTTACCGCTGGTCTGTGGGGCGGGCGAGTGAGAACCCTACCTAGACGAGCAACCTGGAAAACATTTGTATAAAGCCCAAAACAACTGCATAATGTGATGCGTACTGCGGACGTAGTAACTTGTCTTAAAAGAAAGAGGCTATTTTTCAAGCGCCCCTGTACAGTGCCTCTAAGGTCGGCTGCATAAAAACGTACAGTCAGGAAAGTTTGAATGAACTTGACATCTGAAGTCCGTGTTGACGTCAGACGTTACGATTTGTTCGATTGACTCCTGACACCTACCTTGACGAACCCCCTTCAAGAAAAACTTCAAACATTATCTGTTCTTCTAGAAGACGCTCATATTGTATTTGCGCGTCCTTTGCTTCTGTTTAGTATGGCTTATGGAGTGGATAATGCTGCTGTTGTTTGCTGTTTTATGACTTCCGATTATTGCGTAAGTTTTATTCATTCCTGTGGTCTTCCATGCCTCCTCCTTTAACTTATAATTAACTATTCTGATTACCTGTAATAGTTTTTAGAAATAAGAGTAAGGAGCCTGACTCATACAAGTTCGTATTAGTAAGACCAAAAGGAAAAATATAATTATTATTATTTTTTTACTGACAAATAAATTCAAACACGTGTTGGGTTATACCATAAAAAGGCGAAGCAAAGTTTATACCTCTGTTTTTGTGGTGTATATGCAGGGACATTAGGAACTTGCTTAGCCCATTTCAGTAGGCCCTCACTTAGAGTTTTTTAAATTCTGGCTGACTCTTTTACAGATATGACAACGCTTCATGGATACTTTTCTTTCGGCATCGCCTAGGTTTTTCTTTAAATCTAATGGTGTGCTCTGCTTTCAGGGTTCTAGGAATTGTAAAAAGGAACTAAACTATGCTGATGGACAAACTAAATCGATTGTGCCTGTAATGTGCGAGAAAGGCTTCAAAGCCCAAGGCTGGCTTGGTATCATTACAGCTGGCCTCTTATGGATTGACTTTAGGTATATAGACAAGTAATTTGCTTAATTTGCTCGCAGTCTTAAAGAAGGTTTTTACATGAGAAAAAGGTTCAACTCTGACAGGACTGGTTTAGAATGATCACAAACATGGCCACCGTTTAATTTCATTGTTTTTGGGGCACGAATATGGCAGACCGTAAGGTCCTGTGAGAACGCTCTGTATTCTTGTGCACATGCCGTTCGGCATCGACATTCCAGTCCAGTTAGCGGTGTACATACTGTAGCTCAGTGGTAGAGTAGCTAAACTAGTGACCAGTAACTCATAACTTCTATTCCTGTTGGGACAAGTCGATTTTTTTTTCGAGGCACCTGACGAGGTTACTTAATGTGTCTCTTGCTAAGCTCGGCGCATCACGCGCGAATGCCGGTCTTCTAGGTTCGAGAGAATACGATTTGCCGGCGTGAAATCTCAAATGAATACCTGGTTGGTCTACCGAGAGAGCGGCAACACATGGCAAACTACACACTATATATTATAACATAACAAGAAATATTGTAAGAAAGCCCATCCCGACTGAACAGAATGTCTCTCTTCTGCTGTTATCGAAAATGAATTTTGTATGTCTTAAGACTTGCTGATCGTTCTGGCAAAGGGCTATCTAAGACCAAACCAAACTGTGAGCTATTTAGAGAGGATGTCACTTGATCGTTGCAAGAACTGATTATTCCGTTCCTGTCTTTCTGTACTCTTGCAACTAACTGGAGACTCTTCTAGAGCGAATTCAAATTTAGTGTGCTAGTGTTTGGGGAGAGGGGCAAACTGGAGTTGCAAAGAGAAAAGAACCAACAATTCAAACTCAACCCATATAATTAGGCTGATTTAGCAACAGAACGGGAACGTCAGTTGACGACGGCGCGCGCAAATCAAACAACTGGCTTGACCAATGGAAGAGGGGCAAATTGAGCACCGGAAGTCGTGTTTAGTCCTTTCCGCGCCCTTTCCCGTCGTCAACTGACGTTCCCGTCCTGTTGCTAAATCAGCCTATTGACGTCGACGCCGGGACTCGAACCCAAGCCACATTGGTGAGAGTTCAGTCCTACCGGATGTTTCTTGGTGTTACATCTACCATTGCGTCATCCCTGTTTCTCCTGTTATGAATTCAGACCGTAAATGTTCCCTATCTACCTCGCTTTTGAGCCCCGGCTACCAGGCAGTCAAATTAATTCCTGCAAGCCCAAGTTAGCCCTCGGAAAGAAAGGTCGACTTTTCGCACAATTTTCGCTCACCGCTCACAGAAAGTCGGCCAATGGACAAGTCTACTAAGAGATCCGAATTAACTGACAATTTCTTAAGTTTTCATTATTAGAGACGGAACTGTGTTCGAAAATTCCTTAGCATCCCTAGCAAAAGAGATCGTTAACGCCCTGGATTCGGGTGTGCCGGAAAGTGCCATAAAACTGAGCTCATCTGAAATTCCACAAGAAATGGACCTCCCGACAGTGGACATCCAAAAGAAACCCGGAAGGGCCTTTTTACACAAACTCACTGGAAAATTCTTGGCAGAATCAGGTAAAGACATCTTCATATGAACTTCCTACTGATTTACTAAATGTACGCAATCCATCCAAAGTTAAACAGCGGCTATTGACATAGCCTACGTTGCAAACTTAATTTACTTTTACTTTACATAAATGGTGTTCATTTTTGCTCGGAAAATTTATTATTATTATTTTTTAAGATGACACTAATATCCTTTACGCTGGCAAAAAATTCAGTGAAATCCATCTAGACTTGGTATACAAAAGAATGCGTTTTCTCCTGTTGGCCCAAAGATATGGAACGAGATGCCAAAAAGCCAGGAGCCGATTACTGAAAAAGCTTAAAAAACATGCCAAAGAAGACCTTCAGAAAAGACTCAAAGGAGCATTATTAAATATTTTGAAAACCGAAGAGAACTATACAGAGAACTACAAAATCATGGCAAATCTGAAAAATACATTTACTTATATCTTCTATATATACATACAGATTGAAATTTACAATAAATAGATAAACTTGAACCTGCTTATGATATAGTTAATACAGCGTTTGGGTCCCCTATGGTTACCGCGTTAACTATGCCAAAGAGGCTGAGGAGTCTCTTAAACTTTTTACTTAATTGCATTAGGCCAAGTCAAGTTTCATCCCGCGAGTGGAAGCCGCAGTACTCTGGTTTTGAGAGACCACCCTGAAGACACCAGCTACTGGGTTGAGGAGAAACAAAGCAAAAGCGAAATTCATTTCTTTAAGAACTACGCCACAAACGGTTACCTGGGTAAGATGACATTTTTAATCAAAATGAGTTGATTTTTTTACTATTATTTATTAAAATGAGTTTTAGAAAGAAAGCAGTACTTTGCTTTGAATTACACTGATGTATATGCGACACATTCACCTTGAACGACCGAAAATTTGCCAAAGGGTTAATAAAGTTGACGAAGTTTAAAATGAGTCGGTGTGGCAGCTGCTCCGAAGGCAAGTCACTAATGGTGCCTAACCCTGACACCAAGCAGTCCTGAAACAATTGAAACTTTTACAGCCAAATCTTAGTATGCAAACTACAAGGAAGCATATGCAAAAAACAAACAACAACAATAACGTTCTGCTGAGAATTCACATAAGGCACAAGAAATGTACGGAATCTTTACTGAACGAAGATTACTTTTACAGCCAAATCTTAGTATGCAAACTACTAGGAAGCATATGCAAAAAACAAACAACAACAATAACGTTCTGCTGAGAATTCACATAAGGCACAAGAAATGTACGGAATCTTTACTGAACGAAGATTATTCAGTTAAGTTAAGTGATCGTAGGCGCAGGAAAATCGACTCAAAAGAAGCCAGTTTCTTTCCTAGGAGTTCCTTCTCACGTCCATCTCACTTGGTGCGTGTTGTGTCTAGGGAAGACTGCGCTGCGCGCAATGGGTTTAAGGCATTCTCTGTTTTCTGCGCGATAGCAACGCATGGACAGAACTTACGAAAGCAAAGTGCAAGCTCAGCCCTCGATGGATGTGTTTTACTTTTTCGTTTAAGCTAATGTTATGGAGAAGAATTAAACTCTAATTATAAATTGCTTTGCACGGTCAACTAGTTTTACCATCTCCCTGACCTACCCCGACGTGGCGCAAATGATTTCTACGAACCAGGATTCCTTTTTTTTTCTAGTAACTTTTGTCACAAACTGAAAAAAATCATTTCTATTTCTTTCTTTTATTTCTTTTCTTCCACAGGGTACGACCCTAATGGAGATTATATTTACACCAAGGGTCAACATTACGGCGCGGAAGAATGGATCCTAAAAGCTGATGAGCAGTCTACCGACGGCCGTCGAGCCGTGGTTCTGTTTGCAAACTTCGGCAAAAAGTATTTGGCAATTAGGAATGGAGAACTTACTGGAGTGGCTGGTTACTCCGAAGACTGCGTCTGGATTTTGGATTAAAATTTCGTAGAATTAACCAAACATTTTCTATAATTTTGTTCACACACATGTCAGACATTTTACTGAGTTGGACAGCAGATGGTCTCAATTAAAGAGTTCAACTTATATTGAGACACTTAGGACTAGGGAACTTAATTCTTGGTGTGTTAATTCTGCAATAAATCATTTAAGGACAAACTTTTACTGTAATACTGAATTACATTTGTTTAGCATTCTACACAAGGCCTAACATTCGAAAGATATGAATGGCTCTTGCAGGTTTTATTTGTTGCTTACATTTGCCATCTTTTTTACCGTCTCTAATTTCCACTATTATTATTACTATTATTATTATTAAATAGTAGTTATCGAGTAATCACCTAATAAACCAACATTTACGGACTTCTTGGCAAAGAATCAAACATTGTTTAGGGAAATTCACTTACTGGTATCGCAAAACCCAACGGCTAGACTGGATCGTCTCATGGTTGGACCTACCTGATTAGTCTCCAAAGCAGATGGTTAATAGATCGTTTTCAATAATGTGGTCAGCGGCTATGCCAATTTCTTGGGTAGGTACCTCATATATGATTCTATAGTGTACCGATATATAGATTCTTATAGTGCAGTCTTTCTCAGAAGTGTACCGTGGCACTTGGCTTGCTTCAGTGTCTTGGCCTACTTGAGTGTCCTGGCTTACTTGAGTGTCTTAGCCTACTTTTATGTCTTGGCCTACTTCACTTACTTGGCTTGCTTGAGTGTCTTGGCCTACTTCGGTTACTTGGCGTGCTTGAGGCACTCGAGCACGCCAAGACACTGAAGCAAGCCAAGTACTTAAGTAAGCCAAGTACCTCGGTACACGGTACAGTAGAAGAAAGACTGGACTATAAGAATCTATATATCGGTACACTATAGGAATCATATATGAAGTACCTACCATTTCTTGAACAAAAGAAGTTCAATTCAGAGAGGACTTCTTCTGTACACCAACATGGCCGCCCGTTTCATTGTTTTGTACACCAATATGGTCGCCGTGACGTCATGTGAAAACGATCTACGTAGAAGGGGGAGTAGCCTGGGGGAAAAATGAGTTGCGTAAAAGAGTTATACTAAATACTGGCTCTCACAAAATCTGTTGCACTGAAACGCAACGATGCACACGCAATTGCTTGCCATATATATAAAAAAAGGAATGCAACATATGACTAGCAATGCTTGTGGCACAAGTAATAATCAGCCTTGTTGTATTAACCTGATATCGGGCTCTATTTTCGTTTCGCTTTGTAAAAATTGGGCCTGATCTCAGGTTACATTGTATTACCCTACCCAAATCTATAGTCGTTAGTTTTAGTGCTACTTATGTTTTCTTTTTCTAGAGTCTTATGAACAAAATTGAAACGATTAGGAATCATAAAAAAATCATTCTCTGACCCCTCAGACAAGACGATACATGGCTATTTATGTTGCCCTGTCTTAAAACGGAGTTTTACAAAGGTTTTACGGAGATTTACACTACTATTCTAATGTGCGTAATTTCCAAGTATCACGCTATCTAAAGCACTTCACTTCAAGAATAATAAAAATTTACAAGGGAACTTAAAAATCCGAGTTCCCCAAACAGCAAAATCTCCCATTGGCTACTCTGAAGTCACATGACCACTCTAACAAAGAAACTTTTTCCCGCCAAATGTTTCTAAGAAAAAATTATCATATCTATGAAGTCAGGCCGGGATAGCATGGCACTGTTACCCTGTGCTGTCTTGATGATCAGCCCAATTAGCAACAGTAGTATTAAATCGTTATACTTTAACAGTTTAAGGCAACTTGGAATCGGATGTCATTTCTTCCGGCTTTAAATCTCGCAATTTGGCAATGTAATCGGACGAGCGAACAATATAACGCTGAATGTGATCTTTAGTATCGTGATGCCAGTCACCAGTGCCGCTGCCTCCAGAACTCTTCAAGAGTTCCGGCGCGTGGTCGGTAATCTGGAATTTCTTATCTCTCCGAACCGAATCTTTCTCAGTTAACGGAGTATTTGAAGGAACAAGATTTCCTTCCTCTCCTAGCTTTTCCAGCGCTGTGCGAGCCATTGTTGAATTTTCTCTAGACATTTCCTTATCAACTTCAGAGGACCGTGCAGGAGTTATTGACTGCTCTGTTATTTGTAGATGATCATTTAACAGGATTGAATATGGTGAAGACGGGCTATAGTACGAGAGATCAGGAGCGCGTGAAGATTGTCGTAAAGTGTCCCTCGGCTGCAGTTCTGGGTCCATGGCCATATTTTCAACTGACCTTGTAATTTCTTTCAGTTTTGCTCCAAGAACCTTCAAGGATGACAAGGAAGATTTACTTTGGGTTAATCGATGAAGACACTCATCGCTTCGCCTTTGCGCGCTTGAAAGCCATCTCATTGAACTAACCTCTGGGTTTCTCGAATAGCTGAGGTCCCCGTCCAATCTGTAAGTCTCGCAAGTCAAGTGCGCTCTTTGGGCGTGTACCTTTGCCTCTCTTTCCCTCATCTCTCTTAATAATCTTTCTGTAAATTGTGTTGTTTTGACGAAAAATTCGTTTTCTTCTGCGGATGTCGAAAGTTTTCGCATCTCCTTTTTCATCTCCTTGTTCTCCTGTCGTAGTTCTTCAATTTCCTTCAAGGCGCTCTTCAATTCGTCCTTCAACTCTTTCATGTCCTCGCAAACATTCTGAGACGCAGAGCCATTAGGATTCCATAAGCCTTTATGCGAGCTGTCAACATCTTTGTTAACCGGGTGAATATTTCCTTTGGGCATGGTTTGCTGTTGTGAATAAAACCCTTCTAAAGTTCCCTCGTCTGTTTCTTTAACACCCCCGGTTGTGACTTCATCAATCTGGAGCTTGCTTGCAAGCCTCAGCAAATCTACTTTGTGAGCTTGTTGAAAGTTCCCAGGATGCACTGCTACGGTATGGTCTTCAGCCATCCCATAATGCCCAGGTGAATTTACCCTTTCTGACAAGTAACCAACAGACTCATCACCAGGGGAGGTCGGTGGGGATGATTCTTGATCTTCACTGTTTAGAGAATGCTTTCTTCTGTTCTTGCGGGCTAAACGTAGATTTCCACTTTTTGATATCTTGTCTCTTTCATCATCAGGCTTCACTAGAGATCGCTTAAAATTGTTTTCCACGTTTGCTTGAATAGAACTACTTTCACTCAACGTTATATGATTGCTTGGAATTGTTAATTCCGTCACAACGCTGTCTTTTCCTTCCACAAATTCGTCACACGTTTCGAAAGAGGAGTTGGCATGACTCGAAAAACAAATTTCAGACGAAGTGTTAGTCTGAAAATCTTCGCTTTCTTCCGATTTTTCAAGAAGAGATGATTTTTCTTTCCAAGATTCAAATCCACTTAATGCTAAGGATGAAACTGGTGAAACATCTGACTGCCAATCTTCTCCATCAGGGGCCTCTCCTAGTGGTAAATTTTCAGGCGAGCTGTTTTCAATCGAAAGCTTTTCTACTTTGTTTCTGATCGGCTCCGAGCACATTCCGTCATTTCCATTAACCTCTAACTCGCTCAGTAAATCACTTTCATCTTCCTTCTCTTCAGTCGTCTCTTTCGAATAAAAACTTTCAGAGCGATTCTCCTCTGGCTTCTTCGACTCGATCAATTTTGCATCATTTCCTTGTATTTCAAGTATGTTTTCTAGACCTTTCCTTTCTGAACCTTTTGATTCTCCAACGTCTCCAGTTTCTTCTGAATCCAAAAATCCACTTTCAGCGCTCTTGTCCGTTTTCTCGTACTCAGTATCTTCTCCCAGATTTCTGCTTGTTAATTTCTCCTCTTGTGATTTTATCACTTCTTTAAGCTCTTCCATTTCCTTTTGTATCTTCGCCAGTTCTTCTTCAGCTCGTTCCCTCTGTCTCACTGCATTTGCCAGTTTAAAGGTAAGGGTACATACCTGCTGTGTTTTCAAACTTTTCACCTCAGTTGAATTTTTCTTTTCTTGTTCTAACTGTTCTTTCAGCGTATTCAATTCGGCCTTTAACTCTGCTGTCACTTGCTGCAACAGTTCCACTTCAGTAGGAACTCCATTTTTATTTGAATTAAGACTGACGTCTTCGGTCTTCTTTTCTGGGCTCTGAGTAAATAAAAAACACCAATTATAGCTAATTGACACTGTTAATTTTAATGGAAACTAATTAAACTACAGAACTCATTAAAGAAAAGTGCAAATTGCAGAACAGAACTGGCCAATGGCATTTTATTAGTTTAGAGATTAGACTGATTTCTCCCATTAGCAGATAGATCATTCCTTCTATAAGATCGCTAATTATCAAAAACTGCTTTTACCTAAAGATCGGAAAGATTACACCTATTACCTAAAGTGTCGAGTCGAGTGTTG